TTAGTATTATATACTTATATACTATACTATATANATATATATATATATATATATATATATATATATATATATATATATATATATATATAGGGGAAAATATATCATGTCATCATATCATTTTAATATAATGAAATCACACTTCTAGAAAACCATGTTTGTGGGTTTTGTATGACCCCACACCCCCCCCAAACCCCGGACGTCTTCGGCCACCCAATTATATGGGTGACCGGTTAGACTAGCAGGACCCTTGGCCGCCTAGACGGTCGCCTCTGCCTTTTTTAACATCATGCATGAGCTATTAATTACTCATGAGTGATGGATTCAAGCCATAGAAGGTGGAGCTTGAATACAAAGTGAATAATGTGAGGGCTTCTAAGCATGTGAACTAGGTAACTGTGGCCCATAGACATGGCAATGTGGGTTTGACAGCAAGTGGAGAAGGTGGATGGGGTAGGGACACTCGTGTGTCATGCATTACTTTCTTAAATTTGGTGACAAAGGTCCAACATTCATTTGGGACTCAAAGAGGGAGAGTGTAAGCTGTCTTAACTTGTCCCATATCATTTTTCATCATAAAAGATACACCTTCTCTGTAGTTCCTAGAGAAACCCTTAAATGATCCCTCTGCTTCCTAGCATCAATTTTGAACCCTTTCTCATTCTGAGCCAATTCCCAGAAATTTAGCCTCTTTGACTGTAGAGCTCCACCATATTTGGAACACCCAGATCCTAAGCATCACCAAGAAGGCAAGACTAAACAAAAAGAATTGTTTGTGACCCAACAATCTTTGTCTAGAGTTGCTAAGAGCAACTCAGAAAGTTTCGACCAAGAGAAGGTTATAAATACATGAAAGTTCAGGACTGGAAATATGAGGAAGAATAAAGTTGAACTGAGATTTCTTTTTGAAAGAAAGACAACTATTATAACAGGAAGAATATTCAAGCTTCCGATAGCAGGAACATTTTTCTGTAAAGCCAGGACAATATTATGAACACAGTCATTGAGAGTTCATAAGAATCCAAATGCCCACAAACACATCTATGTTGCATTGGTATTTGAAATTGGCATCTGTGTCCAATCGTTTGAGAATTGTGAAAAACAGATTTAGTTTTTCTTCTCAAAAAAAGGGAAATTTATCAAGACACCCATGAGAAATGCATTATTTAACATTTTATACATTTGTAACTATTCCAACTAATGATCATGTGCCTTTTCATAGGTATTTTGAAATAAAATCAAACTGTGGGGTAACATATTAAATAATTTATCTCTTATAAATTTTTATACATTTGTAACGATTCCAACTCATGATCATGTGCCTTTTGATAGGTATTTTGAAATAAAATCAAACTATGTTGGGTAAACTTATTAAAAAATTTATCTCTTATAGGTATTTGATAAATTTGTCAAAAAGAAAAAAAAAAAGGGAAAAGCAGATGTAGAGTGGTGGCCACTGTATATCCATATCCATGCCCCATAGGGACATCTATAATGACATCCATGGACTAATATTTTATAATAAAATTAACCAACTCTACCTGATCAAGTTTATAATAGCCCTGAGCATCTGTGATACACTTTTCATGACCATCAACAATTATTTTGACAGCTTCAACCCCAATTCCCTTGTGATCCACAACACGTCCACCAATTGAAAATCCAGTAACCTGACAAAGAAAAGTACAAGGAGAAAAGGTATGCTTGTAAGATTAACTTCAATGACATGCACAAATAATATAAGAGGGTTGTAAGTGTGAGGATTAAAGAATAGATCTTCTAACCATAAAAATAGAAGAATATAAAAATTTCAGCAGAGAGGTGCCACACAAAACAGCATATTTGCAGCTCATTTTTTTCATAATATCAGATAGATCATTTTTTGTCTTGAAGTACAGCAACCAAGTTGACAATCACTGTTTATGCGCAACCTCTATTCACAAGTTAAAGTTGAATATATCTAGATGCGCACAAGCAGGGATTTTCGCATTTGCATGTGCAGAATAGAGTCACATGCACACTTTGCACATGTAAATCATAGCATTTGATTATTTGCTGTCTTTTGATGAATTAATGAGAGTTTGTCAAAATCATGAAGAGTTGAGTTATATTTTAGAAATGGTAACCTGTGCTGTAAGCACAGGACCAATAGAAAGAACTTACATAACAATAGAAAGTCGGGAATGTGTTTTTGGAAAGTATTAACTGTCGAGGAAGTCGGGAATGTTGAGTTTGTTATCCAACATGCAAAGCCGAAATTTCCAGACCCTTATCAAAAGAACATAGCCATGTATATGATTGAAAATTAAACCTCTACATAACATTCAACAAGATGTATATAACATGCAGAAGTTTGTATCTTTTTTTCTGTTTTTTGATAGGTAACTTCAGTTATGGTGGACTGGCAGATTGGGACCTACCAAGGCAGTTAGTTAATATGAACAGGAGACACAACCCGAGGACTTTCTTGTTGCAATATTCAAAGCTGATGCACAGCTCCCAAACTTAACTATTTCTAGGAATTTTGGTCTATATGGGTGTGTGCTTAACTTTGGAAACAGTATACGTATTTCTAGAGCATTATGTTCAATTGGAAGTTGCATTGAAGCATTGGGAGCATGCGTTTTGGGTAATTGGGTTGAAACATGGGGGGCAGGCATTTTGGGGAATTACTGCATGTGTTTTGGGTTTGCATGGGCAGATTTCTTCCTCATGAATTGGAAAAGACCAACATTCCAATAAGTTCGGTTTTCATTTTAGTAAAAAGAAAGCTTGGAGAGACAGTCTGGAGGGTCTTATCCAAGGGGCTTTATGGAAGGACGAATTTGCAGTTTTGAGTTGATTATTAAACGACCGTAAGAGGCAGAAAGCATCTTTTGAGCTCCCTCCTAGTCATTGATTGCTCTCTCTATGGTTTTCAACAATCTCTTTTTGGATTTTTTGGCATTATTTCATTTCCATGTTGAACTCTTTCTACCAGTTAGTTTTTTCTTTTCGGGTGAATTTCTACCATTTAGTTACTATTACCAAGGTGTTAACTGACTTTAGAGAGAGTAAGTCTTGCGCTATTGTTGGTTTACATCAAAAGCAGTCTCACAGGATTTGGAAAACATATATGTTGACCCTGACCAAATCCAACTAATGAAAAAAAAAAAGAGAGACCTGCACTGGCAATTCTAGAAGGTTGTTTTTTTTTCTGAAACTAAAGGATGGCAAATAAAAACGTACTAGAAACACAAGGAGATTGCTTAGATCATGTCTGTGAAGGAAGAATACAATAATAGATAGAAAGTCAGCCTTATCTAGTAAACTCTGCATTCGCACATGAGTGCAAAAATAAACTACATAGAATTTTTGTGATTGCAGACCTTTTCAATAGCAGAAAAAGCTTTCGCTTTTCTCATCTTTCCTTTATAGAGAGAATGCTAAATGAAATTTTGAATGGGTTCTAATCATTTGGCTGCAAACAGCCTTCAATTATATATGAAGCAAAAAACCTCACAATGATTTGGATGATAAGATTTGAAAGTATGCAATCTGAATGCCATGCAGTACAAACTTACTCCCCCACAATAGAGAGAAAAAAGGAATTCAGATTTCAAATAATGACTATTTTTCAGCAAGGAAAATCCTCCAACAAAAAAGAGAAAAAAAGACAGTTTCCAAACATGGACCATTGTACAACAAATCTACTATTAGTTTGCAACCTCACAAAACCATGCTGCTTACCTGGAATTTTGTTTTTTGAGAGATGCTTACCTGGAATTTTTGGGGAACAGTAACATGAAAATGATCAACAGTTACATCTATGGAAGGAGGCGAGACAGCAAACACTGTATTCTCTCCCTTGTAGTAGGGCAAAAGCTTGTAAACCCCTGCATACATGTGTACAGTACTTTGACATGAAAATGGTGATAGATAGAATTTAACCTAACCAAACGCATGTTTTTATTATTATTATTATTCGTTTTGAGTAGCTGAAAGCTTGCAATTGACCGAGTAAATAAAGCCCAGCGATACAATATGCAGAGAGTGTTCTGATTTGATAATTGTAATAATTAATCCATCACAAAGGCAAGTTGTCATTAAAATGAAATTTAATTATGAACATTCTCAGTGTTCCTGTACATGGAAAACATAAAAGACCATAAATGAACAATATAAATCAAATAATACTAGTGGAAACCTTTGCAACAGAATTCTAGCTGTCAAAGTATCCCAATTCTGCAGTAATTGAATTCTAAATCTCAAAGACTTAAAATAGCGAAGTTTTTGTAACCAAAGTATATGATTGGAATACTGTGATTGAATGATAAGGTCCACAGTTGGACATAGATTAGGAGACTTCTGCCTATTTTAATAATTTCTTCTTTTTTTTAGTAATATATTTTTCTTATTTAGATTCTCAAACATTCTAACTAGAAAGGACCAGATTTCTTTCTTTGAATTGAGTTAATTTGTTGGCCACGTATTACTGATTTGTCACCCAAATTAGTAAAGGCCCTAGGACAGATTTATTGCTAAGAATGAAATAACAGTGGATATTTTGACCTATACTTGTGTTGATTACAATACGAGGTGTTGATTCCTCTCTTTCGTGGTGTTGAAGCCATTATTTCTTACGTATTAACTTTCGATTCTTAGAAAGATCAAAATCCTGTAATTCCAGGTACTTTATCCACTTCCCCATCTTCTATCATTTTATTTCTTCAACCCACGCCACTTTATATCCCCTCTCTGTCATCTCTTCTTGTTACCCTCCCTTTCCCATCCAACAACCCACAACTCGTAAAGCAAGGACCTACTCATCCCTCTTCTCAAGCTATCTTCTCCTTTTTCTTTTCTTTTTTTCTGAGCTTAGAAGTTTAGCTTGTACTACCATAGTAAATATTATGAACAATAGGTATCGAAGTATTTAGAGAACAGGTATGTAGTTTGTTGGATGGGAAAGGGAGGGTAACAAGAAGAGATGACAGAGAGGGGATATAAAGTGGCGTGGGTTGAAGAAATAAAATGGTAGAAGATGGGAAGGAGGCCTCGCAGTATTTAGAGAACGGGTAGTAGAGAACACAGATCGTAGTAGAGAACACAGATCATGTCACTAAATAAAATGATAGAAGCCTTCAATCATTTGGCTGCAAACAGCCTTCAGGTGCTCAAAGTGACATGATCTGTGTGCAAAATGGGAAGGAGGCCTCGCAGTATTTAGAGAACAGGTAGTAGAGAGAAGAGAATCTGTTCACCCTCAGTCAAAAAAGAGTAGATCAACAGAATGGTTCACCCTTCGTCCAAAAAAAGTAGGTGAACCTCCTTAGCAGCCCATCCCTCAAAAAGTATCCATGGCAACTAGTGCTGTGTGAAGCTTGTGCTAGTGGCACCCTCTCTTGTGCATTGGCAGCAGAGTTCCCTGCAGCCTGCTGTGATAGAAGCTGCTTGGAAAGGCCCGCATATATGAAAGATGTGATAAAAAATCCATTCAAGTCAGAAAAACATCGTGACTGTCCCCCTCGCCAATTAATGGTGATCCTGAGGATGCATCACATCTGTTGAGACGTTCTAGGAGTAATGCATAGCCTGGACCATTGTCGAGTCAGAAAAGCCGAGGGGGGCAGAGGAGGTAATGTTTTGGCCCACTGAATTTCTGAGTAGCCCACCTTAATCTGCGCAACATGGAATACCCAAAGAACACCCATATATATTAAGCTTTATGGCTCCTGTTTGGGGTGGTCGCCATAGAGAGGATCTGATGATTCTCAATGTCCATGAGAATAGGATGGATTTCCCGTTTGTCACAAAATCCAAACTTGTGAAACCAATGTTTCGTTTCGTACCTAAGACCAGAAGATGGTTCAGGAACTAAATCTTTCCTTGATTGCCTTCACCAATTCTTCTTTTCCTTCGAAAATATGACAGTTGTATTGAAGCCAGGTGGACCAAATGCTCCCCATTATCAACACTCTCCATAATAGGCCTGTCTTTGGGCAGAGTGGTAAGTAGAAGGCATAAAGGGTTGGTCTACACTGTGAGAGGTCACCCATGGCTATTTAAACGACTTCAGCACTGAGGCCCATTGCTATAAACAGCAGGCAGAGCTAAAGGGAATAGTAGAACAAGGATACCAAGAAAATCCCACTGCAGGTTGTTTACCAGAACATCCATTCTGCCGCATATTTGACTAAGAATTTGTAGTGTAGTGCCCAGCAGCACGGCAAATTCTTGTTGTTTCTTGGTCTGTTAGGGCCCTTCTGAAGATTGGATTCCATACTAAAGTTCCTCCAAGACCCTCATATGCCTGGTCAATCTTGCCTCTCGCAAGTTTATCAGATTGTAGAGGCCCGGAAATTGTTCAAGAAGTTTTTGTCACCCAAACATAGGTACTCCTAGAAGTGTAGCTTATCTCATTCTCTCGGGATGATTCTCATATTGCCTCAAGAATTTCTAGTGGCTAATTCAGAGGCTTTGCCAGCCCCAAAGAACAGCTGCTGGGATATCTCTTAAGGAACCAACCTGAGTCATTCAACGCGTGTTTCTGTTGATACGCTCTCGGCATAGCAGCCCATGCTTATTCTTCAAAGGAAAATTGTTTCATGCGGGCCAGACCGCATTTCTACATATGCGGTCCAGAAAGTGTAAAGCATCCATCTTTAAGATGGATGCAAGTAGGTGTTCCATCTAAAAACAATGGAAACTAATGGTCCAAATGTTTCTTACTAGCCTTATTATTTCTAG